TCTTTTTTCCGTTAATGTTGTTCAGTTTATTCGAGCTGTAATGGCAGGTAATAATATATTTTTTTTTGCGATCGAGCGTCATTGTCGGAGGGAAATGAAGATTAAATTATCTACAAATAACATACAATGTTAGATCAATGTATCTAACATTCGTTGGTTAGAACTTTAATATTTTTTATTCATTATTCAGATAAGTTCCCCGTACATTTTGTTACAATTGTTAGAAAAATCTAGGTATATTATTCGTGTATTTTAACGTCCAAGTCACAGACTTGAACTTGATTTACAGAAAAGATTAAAATTTCTATTCATTATTATTGGTATCAAATAAAACAACATAATCAGCCTTATTTAGTCTTTCTTCAACTGTTTCCTTAACTATCCTTTTATTTCGCCAAACGAAAATTTATTAGCAGACTTTGGATATCTAAGTAAATTCATTTCATTACAAATATGGATTCTACGTAAACAATCTAGTACTATACTTTACATACATTTACATATTGTTTGCACTCAAGAGCGCGCAAAAATCCGCAGTTCACTCTGTCCTCTAAATGCTTCTGTAATGAATCGTCTTGTGAACGGGAAGGAAACTCACAATGGGAAACACCACTCAAAGTCACCCTCATCCTTCGTCATCCTCCGAAGGATCCCCGAATAAAATCTGACCGCGTCATCAATTACTTTTATCTGAGAACGAAACACGCTTTCGTCGGCGGTTTCGTCTCGTTTCCTTTCTCCCAGCCGTTCGTCGGTTTTTCTATTTCAACCGACGACGATCCTCGTGAACCTAACCTAACCCCTCCCGCCGTCCTGACACCCGGTCGACTTTTTCTTCGACACCCGAGGCGTCGGTGGTGAGACGCCCGCGAAAAATGGTCGCGCGTTTCAGGTACTTCATTAATATTTCATTTCGTTGCTTATCGTTACCGCGGAGCCGCGCCGCGGAGGCGCGCCGCAGGGCATCGTTACTCCCTCCAAGCGAGCATACAAGGCGGGCGAAAAGGTGGAGGGCGAGAAAGGCCGAGGGAAAGGGCCAGGGAAAAGAAGGAAAGACAAATATAGAGCGACGGAACGAGGAGCTACCCCGACCGGAGGCCGGGTGGTGCACTTTATTACATCGAAAGACGGAACGTAGCCCGCGCCGGGCGTAGTTTCCCTCCCGCGTTCTCTCCAGAAACAGGGCACAAACTTTCCGCGCTCTCTCCTAATCCTTATTACCATCTCTTGTAAAATGATGATCCTTCTTGTCCTCTCTTATTCGTTTCACGTGAACTACGTTTACCTCGATCTTTCATCGAACGTGTCTGAATTGGCGCGGCAAGTTCAGATCGCTGATAAATGAGTGGCGAGCAAAATGTTGATTGACGAACAGATCTCGTGTTTTAGGGGTGTAAGTGCAAGAACGTGGTAGTAGGTGGAAGTTAATATATTGTATTTGTTAATGATTTGAGCTGCATCCATGGGTTAAGTTAAGCGTTGTTTAAAGTAACCTTTGAGATTTCCTCTAGATTGTCTTTTCTTCATATATATAAAATATCGTATATTAATACGAAGTACATACATACATGTATATAATATATATTATACTATACTATATAATATGATATATATATATATATATATATATATATATATATATATATAATTGTGGGAAAAGAATAATAGCAATTTACTGTACATATTTATTTTACTGCATTTATATTTTTCACACTGTATTTTTTCATTATACAACGAGACATATTCATCCCCCATATACAGTGTGCTAAAATACTAAACAAGAAAATCAGAGAATTGTTAGAAGGTCTATAAATACAACGAGATATACCGATATCAGACGAAAATAAATTCCGACAACCAGCCTAAATTCACAGAAATCCACGTCACGATCATCCGTAATATCCGCCCGCTCTTGCACAGCCCTTTAAAAATTCGAGTCCTGAAAAAAAATGTGCGTACCAAGATCCGAAATCAGTAATAGAAAGAGGCAGTCCGCTTCGAGAGTAGCGAGAGAGAGAGGAGAGACCGCGAACGTTCGCGGTTAAAACGATAAAACAAGACCGGGGCGAACCGGTGGTAGGAGAGGGCAGTGAGGCAGGAGCTGAAAGTGCGATACGAGGAGGGGCAGAGGAAAACGTGGTGGAGAACGTTCCATGCAAAGAGGGAACGAGAAGAGGTAGGAGAGAAGCGAGAGAAGAGGAGCGTTGGTCCGTCGTGAAGTCGCCGCGGGCATCACGGAGCGTATTGTCTCGCTGAATGTCCGCGGGGCACCTCGTGAATCCCTCCGCCCTTCACCGTCTCTGGCCCGCGGAAATCCGCTGGCTGGATGGCAGGCGGGGGCGCAGAGGACGCACGAAGCTCGCCGCTATCTCCTCTCGTTTCCGTGCCCGCAGCGGAACGACCGTTGCTCCGCCGTACACTTCGCGGTGGGGTACACCTCCGCGTCTGCCCCCGGGGGCATCTTCCACACAACGATGAGCGAGGTGAGCGGGGAGGGGGGTGGGGAGGGAGGTGGGTGGGAGGGAAGCCTCCTTCTTCTTCTACGCTGCATGATTCCGCGCCTTCGCCCCCGGGGCTAACCGAAACGGCTCTTACGTGTGTGTATGTAAGTACACGTACCAACGTACTGGCATCTGCCTGCAGCGCTCCGGGCAAGGTGTACCTCTTCTTCATCATCTTCCTCTTCGCTCCTCGTCGTCCTCATCTTCGTTTCGCCCTCTCTCTCTCTCTCTCTCTCTCTCTCTCTCTCTCTCTCGGTCCTCTCCTCTTTCTCCTCGTCTCCGCGGCTTCGTTCCCGATAATTCCAATTTCTTCTTGGGCTGTTACGTAGTTCTGTTCCGTGGCTCTTGGTAGGGAAATAGTTACAGAAGAGGTATTTTAGGCGATTTGGCTGATTTGGGATTTGTTGCGCGGAAGAGAATGCGAGGATTGTGCGAGAAATGGATACTTTGCGGGTGACGCTGAAATTTGGTATCGATGGTATTTGTTCGGGAGTAGTGTACTCTGGACGCGAAAGTTATTGCTTTGGTGCAGTATTTAGTGTTGCACTTTGAATGGCATAGACTCCGTATTTTGCATTGGTTTAGATTTTATTAAATTCGTTTGCATTTGGAAAGATAAGAATCTTAGGCCTAAGTTCAAATGGTTCGTATACGACTATGTATGGTCACACAAATTTTGATTCTTATAACTGTGGAGAGATAGAACCTTCATCGAGATTGCTTCATTATTCCATACGGTAAAACTTTGCTCATATGGAATCTCTATTTATTTGAAATAAATTTCAGTCGATGCCCGATTAAATGAACTGTTGTTAATTGAATTTATTTTATTTAATTATACATATGGAGTCCATTTGAATCAAATTTCAGTCAATGCACAATTCAATGAACCACTTATGTAATTACATGGACATCCGGATTAAATTTTAGCCGATGTCCGATTGAACGAATTGCTGCTTTATCTGACTTGTTGTTGATCTAAACACCTATTATAAACGAAAAATCACTAGCAAAGGAAAGAAGAATCAATGGACTTTTATTGTACAAATTATTTATCCCAGTTTTTTGTATAATATAAACGGAATTCTACTCTCTCTATATTTCTGTCCATTCCGTACGTTTTTACATCTTGAAACATCCGCAATCTAATCATTATCGACTCAAGTATCACTATCATCACGATAATGTAGTACACGTCTTTGACCATTTCCGGACGAATGAAATATACTGTTCCCGGGGAAAGCACGGCATCTATCAGGTCATCGGTTCCAATCGCCTCTCTTCATTACAATTTCCTTACTATCCGCCGTTGAACATTTTTCTTTCTCCTATCGAAGCCAGGACGTTTATTTCGTTACTTTTCGAGGCATTCCTCGGTCTCGTTCGTCGCGTGTTTCTATATTTAGTGTCACATGTTCCTCGTGTCTCGCCTCGGGCAACATGCCTCTTCTTCCCTGCTTCTTCGCGTTCTCTTCGATCCACCGTTAATACAGACGAAGGATTCATCCCGCCAGTCAAACGATCCTCGTGCCAGTGCGTGGCACTTTTCTCTTCGTTTTTGTTGTTTCGTTACTCGTTTCAGGCGCCAACATTTTACAAAGTTAATTCACATTGACGAATGCGTCATCGTTCCGTGGTTTCTTATCTCCGGCGAGCAGAGATGGCCGACGATAGGAGAGAAGCCCGCGGCGTCTTACCTCTCGCTTCTGCAAGCGATTCTTCGAGTGACCCCCCGAGGGCTGACCAACACGACTCTGAATCTCCTTGTGCGTGCGTTCCTCCACTGTCAAACGTCCTGCCTGCATTGCCTCCAGCTACGCGTACCCCTTCCCATCCATTTCTTATTTCTTCCTGCTTCTCTTCACTCTCTTGCCAGCGTTCTTCCTGCTTCTTTCCAGTCCCTCGCGTTGGATTTATATCGACGCGATTATTATGCAGCGATCTGACGTTTGATAATCAGTTTTGCACCGATGGATTCGTGGAAGTGTATCGACGTTTGTCATTTCATATATACATCTCGTGGTTTCTTCTTTCGATTTTTCGAAACGATTTTTGCTTTAAAGACGATTTTTCTTTTTATTAAATGTTTATAGTACGTAACTTTGCTGGTGCAAATATTAATAAAAATCTATTGAAATGACAAAAATCTATAATTATTACATTCTCTTCTCTTTATATACTTTATTAGTGTAAGATGTTAGTTCTGTCTTTTACAGATAACAACTATCGTCTCAGGGATCGTATGACATGCTTGAGAGTAACGAAATTCTTGCTTTAGGTCCCATCTTTGTTCCGTGATATTAAATTTGTCGATGATTGTCTGTGATTAAGAGATAAATTACTAGAAAGAGATAAAGAGATGATTGTTCCGTACTCTCAAAGATAGTTTGCTCGTACATAGATAGTAGAACGCAGATTATAGAATGTTGTGTCATTGATTTATACTATTTTATTCAGAGAAATCACGCTCAACAAAGATAAACGACAAACATTTGTTCGATATGCGTTTTATTCTAAATATATCCTCTATAAATATTTTCTAATTTCAATAAACATTTTTGGATTGCTCCTACATTTTACCAATATGATCATATTTTAATCTTTTATTACACTATTAATAAAGATTCAAAATATTGTATATAGACAAAAATTATTAAAGTTCTTCTTATAAAACAAGCGATGCATTCTTCCGTAGTGCTTTTATCAACATGCATAAGTAACATAAATTAAACAATAGTAATACATAACATTTTGCGTTAAAAAGAAAAGAAATAAAAATATGGTAACATTTAGCGGGTATCAAAATGATAGTACATTTCGTGAAAAACGATTCTTTGCATTTAACAACAGGCAGTCATTCTTTGAGCAAAAATTTATATTCTTCAATGATATTTTGCCTTAGTTTTTCCCATTCCTCTACAATACAATTTTTAAATTCATTAATATTTGCGAATTGTTAAATAATAAATAAAAATCCTTGTTAAACTCTTCTATTCAAATACTTTTAGTTCCTACGTATTTTCTTTGTAACTCTAATGAATTAATTACAAGAATCTCTTCGACAAACAGTAACAATAAATCGTAACTATTAATTACATCGTGAAAAGATGGAAAGAATAAAATAATCACGTCGTCTATCAAATACTCATATCTCATTTATCATAAATACTTTCCTCTCCTTCTCCCTTACGTGCGATTTTACGTACCAAAGTCTACTTTTCACGTTGCGAACGATTGCGTCGAATCACCACGGTCGTTCACAATGTACAAAAGAGTCAACGTTTTAACACTCGCACTAATTTCACGCGGACGAACGTCTCGTCTACACGTGTTCGCGTATTCGCAATTATCACGCGGCGTTTGCCATTTTTCATTCGGCATGCGGGTTTAGCCCGCACGTCGCGCGTCTACCGTTGCAATTGTAAAACCAATTAAGCCGGTTTTCTACCGTTCTAACCGGAACAGATGCGTCGCATCGCGTGATATTGCATTCGCGTCAGATACGAGCCGCAGCTGATGTCGAAACTAATCGCCCACATTAACGCTACGATCCAGACGGTGGACAGGCCTTTTGTTGCCGCCTGTTTTTCACCCTTGCTGATCGATTAAACCAACGTGCAGCAGACTTTGTCAGCTGGACAATCGACGACCGTTTGACGCAGGTCCTGGTTGCACCAGTTCATGCATTCGCCACTGAAGTGTCGGCAGTGTGTTCTGTGCTCCCATTTCACTGCGAACAGAGTACGCGAGGTTTATGTAGCAAACCAGGATGTAGAAATTGCGGAGGTCGATACTACTCTTGACACGTTGGTGAAGAGTTTCTAGGAATTGCCGAGAGTCTGACGAGGCAAGTTCGATAATTGGTTAATTCAAGAAAATTTTATTTTTCTCTTATCTTTGTTGGAAATGTAGTTTACGCGCTGGTGATACGAGAGTAATTCTCTTCCTGCTGAGACACGGTTCTGAGAAGAAAACGCTACTTCAAGGAAATATTAATTGTGATTATAAAACGAATGGTCTTAGTTATTTAACGTTATTAAAATTAATTAGATGTTATAAATCAATGTAATCGTAATATCGTAGGAGTTATTTTTTTTACTCGATCCGATTGAGGAAATGAAATTAATTATTGATCTTGAACATTTAGGAAACATCGACCGTCATAATATTAGATATGAGAATGAATTTTGTACAAAATTTCACAAATTGTTCGTCCATTTTATATCTTTGGATTTAACAGAATGTTTTCTTTTTTAAAAGGAAAAGAAAAATCACTAAAAAGTATTTCTCTATCACGTCTCCAAAGACTTAACATAATTATAATGATTTATTATATATATATTTTTTTAAACTATCCAACGAAAAGATAATTGAAGCAAGCAAACGAGACAGAGGAACAAACTGAGAAGAATAAACTGAAAGAACGTGGACATAGTGTTAGGCTAGCGACATGTTTCGTGAAAGTGCGGACACGGTGACGCATGAATTAACTTGTCGACGTGTTCGTTCGAAATTCACGGCGCGCAAAAGTGAATCTCGAGAGTATTCGATTTGGCACAGTAGAAATTATGGTGTTGCGTGTGTGCCGTACCGGCGAGCGTGAAATTGCTATATCCAGTTGTAACGCACGGTTACGTTATCGTTACCGCCTCATAATTACCATTGGTCTTCTGTGTGTATTTTATACCGTGACGGGAATAAACGAAAGCGTGCCGTTTCCATACCAGCTCGCGGACATCAATAAAGAACTCGTGCAAACGATGGAAATACGTAAATTACTTTCAAACTAAACCGACGTCAAGCCCCTTTCACGAACTGCTTATCAGCAAACGGCCAGCAAAATAAATATTCTTCGTTTTGTATATATTTATGGCGTTATTTGCAGATTTACCGACTATTCCGAATGACTCATGGTATAACAATTTATTGTTTTTATTAGCTTTAGTTTTATTTCTGAAGAAAAGATTCGCGAATGCTGGGAATTTCAGTTTTGTTTTCTAAATATTTGTCACGCTGTTTTTATATTTACGAAATAGATGAAATTTTTAGTAATTCGACTGCTTGAGTAGAAGTATGATTCTGTAACTATTCACATGTTATATTTATTAGGAAGGAATTATGTATGAGAACTTTATTTGGCGTTTTAGCAATAGTATTTTAAAAAATATTTTGTAAAGCTAAATTAAAATTTAATACAACTTTAAAAAAACTTGCAATTTAATTTGAATATCAAGTTGCTATTTAATAGCGTTTTACTTTAATTAGCGTCTTATTATTACTATATATTAGTTAAAGTACTAATTATTAATATTACCATATTAATATTATATTATATATTAATATTACCATATTAATATTATATTATATATTAATATTGTATTACTATAAATTCTTTTTTCAGGAAACAGCCCTTTTAAAAAATTTCTTTTTCAAAATCATATTAAGTCATACAAACTTACCTATGCTGCAGCACGCTTCACTGGATTTTGGACACGTATAACCAACTATCAAGTCGTCGCATTTCGTCGATTCCAGGCAATTCTCTTGAGGACATATACTGTTTCCAGTTGTATACTCTGGAATATTCATATTATTATCCTATCATGCTGTTGTCAAGGATTGTTCAATAAAAGTGGTTTCAACATAGGGTTAGTGGACCGAACGAAACGAGGAAAGGATTGAAGCAAGATCGCTCGGGCGAATATTTCAATTTATCACAATGTTGCGGGAAAGAAGACTATTCGATCTTCCAACGATCAAAAGAGAGTTTGTAACTCTATCATCGGTTTTAACATGGCGTTGTAAAATCTATGATTGCAGTTAAACGTTGAACGATGAAGATTGAAGATAGTACTGGTGGACGAGATTCATTTGAATAGAATTTCGTTTCATTTGAAGAACATCATTTAAATAAAATTCATTCCATTTCAAAAGTCAAATTACTTTGGTTATTATTGAAAATTTTAAATATAATTGTAACTAAATCAAATTAAAAGATATTGATCATCAAATATTTAAAAATTTGTCTAAGAAACTAATTTATCATAAAGATATTCTTTAAATTGTCTATTTATTGGAATTCGATAAGAGAATATAAAACAGTAGTTAAGAGATATTATATGAAATTTAAATGTTTTACATGTAGAAAACAAATAGGCGTTTATAATTAAAATAACAGTAGATAATTATAATAAAAATAATAATTAAAATAAAAATTATAATAAAATAATAAAATAATAAAAAAATATACACTCTATTTCTACTTCAATAAAAACAACTTTATTAAAATTATTCGCACGTGTTCAATAATCCTAAATATTCCAGATATTCAAAATCCCATAATTCAAACGTTTAACTAAAACGTTCGATCCTCTGATCTCGCACAACTCCATTGACGTATCGAAAATAACTGTAATTTCAATAATCATAAAACTGAAATATCGAGAAACGAACTACTTAAATTAACCCATTTCAAGTTCGACAATGGTTTCAAAGTGTCATGCGAACTGATTCGATAGTTAGATCTCTGCTTTCTTACCGATGGAGTGCAGAAAGGTGGCCACGAAAGCAACAAGAAGAACAGACAGACAGAGCTTCATGGTGCCGTTGATGATGTGTCGAGGAACGCGTGCCTGTTTGACAGTCGACGATTCAATGGTCTCACTTTTCCGGGTCGAGCATTATATAAACGTAAGCGAGCAACGTTACACACGGCACGCACGCACACAGGCACGGACAGGCACCCGCTCGTCCATTTCATCGCCCGTGCATTTCATTATATCTCTACGAGACCAACGTACGAACACGTTGTTAGTTCTGTCTTGAAGCGATCCGATCGATCGGCCACGGTGATTTCCAGAGTGATGCGCGCCTTCGTACTTCCCCTAGCGAGTAAACAATTGACGCACGTACTGCTTGTTAAACGCGTTGACGACCGGATTAATGTTTGATCTTTGACACCAGCGACAATATCGAGTTGCTTACGTTTTCCTCCGAATCTTCCTATTTTCTCTCTTTTCTAATCTATCGTCGAGTCTTCTCTGGTCAATAAAAATTTGTAGAATTCACCGAGAGGGAAAGCATCGAAGATTTACTCTACAATATTGATACGCTGAGCGATGCTTTCTCCGAATTTTTTCTTTTGTCAATAAAAATTTGTAGAATTCATCGTGAGAGAAAGCCGTCGAGGATTTATTCTACAATATATTGACGCGTTGGCTGTCATGTGTGCTCTCTTTGAATTTTGTCAATAAAAGTTCGTTCGATCAAAAGAAAGATCGAATATTTATTTTGTAATATATTGCATTGTTGTTGCAATGTTCTCTTTGAATTTTGTCAGTAAAAATTGAAACAAAATCGAAGATCTTCTCTATTTGCTTCTTCTAACTTCTCCTCGAATCTTCTTTCGTCAATAAAAAATTTGTACAATTTATCGGAAGAAGAAGCAGTGAAGATTCGTTCTATAATATTGACATGTTCACTGTTACGATTCTTTGAATTTCCTCTCGCCGATAAATTACATTTTCCACAATGTGAGCACGTTGATTGCCACGACAGTAATATTTGATATTACAGTAACATTTTAGAATGATTAAAATAAGGTGGATATCATCGGCAAAAAATTTTGAATAACTAGATAATACTATAAAATGAAAAAATACGCTTTCATTGAATTTTTACTGTTAATTTAATATTTTATAAATATGTAAGTTTCACGTGGCAGTCTTTTTTGCTATATCAATAACTGTACATCAATTTTTAATCATTTTATATTTTATTAACCTTTAGTCATTTTTCTACAGTATTCCGCGTGCTAAATATTCCAATAATCCAAGATTTTCATCGGAAGGATTAAAAGCGTCAGCGCGCTCGTCTCGAAGTTCTTTCCAGCTCCTATAAAATTGCCATCAATTTTCCGGTGCGGATCGTCTATGATCGGGGGCCTGATCCGTGCATTTCGTTGAGAAAAGATTAATGAGCCACGTCTTGACGCTGGAGCAGTGTTATCCGAATTGTGCCGATAAAAGGTTTACCGGTGATTTATGAGCGGCACTCATCTTTTAATGGAACCACCTCGAGGACTCGTTCGTACCTGGCCAACGAACGATTGTTCCGGCAACGTTTTCAGATATCAAAACCGTGGTAGCTGTTGGTGGTCGAAACTTTAAGGTGCACTTTGCCACCGGCGAGTGAACGTTCCGTGCTCAGTTATCCGTTTAAGTGACTCGAGCCATTCCCGGTTCGACCTTTTACGGACATACACATCCGTTTATCGAAAGTTTTATCGAACGTTGCGTGATGTTCTTTTTGTCAGTGACACTGAAATTATATCGTCATTACGCCGTTATAGCGATATTCCGATGTTCGCGAATTTTATGAAGAAATTTACACGCAGTTATCTTATCCTTCTTTGCGGGGAAGCAAATATTTTCCTCGAGATAAATGGGCAGTATCGTGACCGAGGGTTGGTTGAATAATATGTATCTTTATCTTTGGCTATTCTTGTCATTTCGTAACATTGTCTCCGAGGTACGGAGAATTCTTGCAGGAACACGGTTTCCTTAACACGAATCACATGTTTGACGAGTAAATTTCGTCGATCTCTGTTCTCTTTTTTTTTTTTTAAATTCAAGGAAAAGACGTGAAAAGGTTTATTGAACGTGTTTGAGAGATAATAAATTTGAAAGACAATTACTAACGCTAGAATCACTGACAACCGGAACTTGCATTAGAGAAATGTAAAAATAAATGAAATGAAAGAAAATTCTGTTGTTTCATATTTTCGCAAACGTAATTAAAGAAATGAAATTTTTTTTCAGTATTTAAAATTACAACAAGTAATTCACTTTTGATATTTTATACATTTCTGTATGTCGTATATATGTCAACTAGAGATTCGTTTACCGAAAAATTATTCTTTCGAATTATTATCGTTTCGACATGGTATTATGTCACAATGTTAAAATATTCTCGTATGATTACTTCGAACAAATATTTCTTTTCTTTCAAATCTCATTTAAAATTCTTAATGTTTAATGTCACTTTGAAATTGCTATTTGCGAATAACTAAAATAACTAACGTTTGAAATTACTTCATTGATAACAAGAAATTCTATCTTCTATATTTTTGAAAAAAATTCGAATTAGAGTATCACGTTCTACATATATCTAACTTGCGGACGTATATGCAAATTTACGTTCCTATAAATGTAAATAAAATCAGTATTTAAATAAAGACCTCTTCCATTTTCTGAATATACTTTTCTTCGGATATTTTTTGCATACTTGATGTGTTATCTTTGATAAACTTTGAATTAGTGCTACTTATCAGTAGTAGATTGCACATGGAAATTTGTATTTTCATAAATACAAATTTATATCTAATAAAGAATCTGAATAAAAACTTATATATATATATATATATATTATATTATATTATAATATATAAATTATACAATATATTTTTCTACATTTTAACCTTCCGTAAATGCATAAACGTCCGCACTGATCATCCCCGCGAGAACGAAGAAGTAAGTAAGAAATGAAAAATGAGAAAGAACACGCGCAAAGGAAAACGCAGCTGCAGTCAGAAAGGAACACTCAGTACTTTATTGTTAATCATTTCAACGTATACTTGAATCCATCTTAACAATTACAGAAAGGTGCGTGCAGAGGGGAACGTTCGAACGCTTCACTCCGTTTGGCACTTTACCAACAGTTCTCCCGCGATGGCCAACATATCGCAACACTTACCGCGTCATTATCATCGTCACAACATGAAAAATCATCGTCCAGTGCGTGTTACCATCGACAGTTGTTACCATTGGTAGCATTCATCGCGTTCGAACGTTCTGTTCGCGGTTTCTCGAAGTTCGAGGCGACACAGAGAGCTCAGAGAATCGCGTGATCGATTCCTCTGGGAGCGGTTACAACGATTGTTCATGCCTCTTTTCATTCTCTCTCTCCTTCTCTCTCTCTCTCTCTCTCTCTCGTTGTTTGTCCTCTCTGCTCTTAATGATAAATCAAAGGAAGGAGCGTGATGATTATGCGTTTAGGTTCTCGCGAAGAACAGAGTTTAGTCGGGCTTTTCTTTTCTTTCTTTTTTTTTTCGAATCTACGCCCGCTAAAGATGTGAGGTCTCTCATTCGAACGGAAAGGAATACAATGGAACGATATAAGTACTTTGCTACGTACGACGGGCTTTCGAATGTACAAGTATAAGCGGGTACTTTCGCGTTGCTGGTGGGATCGACGTGTCGCTTCGAGAAGTACGAGAATTTCTATTACCGTGATATGAACATAGAATCGGAGGTTTATATTAGAATCGTTATATGACCACGATTTCCGAACGATTTACACTCCATCGCGCTTGTTGCTCGTATAAATTGTTAACACATTGTGTACGAGAGATAAATAAGTTAATTGTTGTATAATACAATGTACGTCTGTTTTAATAAATATTTAAAAACAGTATGATAGTATCGTTGACAGAGTATTTGTCTCAATATGCGAAAAGTGAAAGGAAAAATTAATTTTTCACTTTCATGTAGGCAATTAAAATATGTGTGAGCGAATTCGAAGCTTAAGTGTTGGAAAATTTTGTGTGAATTACAACAATTTGTATGTTGTAAACATATATTTGGAGAATGAAGATTTCTAATAATATTTTTATTTTCTAATGATTAAAAAACATAGAGAAGCGAAAAGATTGTAATGATGATCACAGAAGAATTGTCAATGCACAAATAGTTGTACTTTTATTGCAAATACCTCAGAGTATCCAAATTGTCACGATGATACGACGACGAGAATCCACCCTAAGATTAAATAAATCTACAAGATTTGCACCTTCATTCCAAATGTTTCCAAATTGTATTCAAATTGTGACGACGATACGATGATGAGAATCCATACTAGGATCAAACAAATCCATGCGCAAGATTTTACTTTCATTGAAAATGTCTCGAAGTATATTCACATTGTGAAGATGACATGATTCATCGATATATGATGACGATATCATATTTACTGACAAAACGTCTCGATATATTCAAGTTGAGGAAATTTCAACACTTGTATACAATGTGTCAACATCAACGTAATTAATCTGCGTGCATCGTAGTTTCTCTGTTCGAAGGAGCAAGATTGAATATATCATTCGAAGGCACCAGCAGTCGTGATAATTCCCAGCGTTTACCTCTAGCATCAGTATCTAGTTTCATATGTACAAGTGGATAGACTTATCGGTGCTTAGCATCGCGATATACGCGCCCTTAGTGTTCAGAATACTGTACACGATATATAGCACTTTCGTAGGAATTGAAGGACCGAGCTGACTAGAAAATATTGAGGCGACATCTTTGTCGAACGACCGGGCAAAAATTCGCCGAAATACCAGCTGGATCTTCTTCCATTTTCATATACATATATATATTTTCAGTGGTATTTTTGCCCGATCGACGCAGTCGGTGATTGAGTGCTTGAGAACAGAAGAACTTTTTCGTCTTGCTTCGGTTTCGGAGATTAGGAGTGCATCGCGATCATCTCTCTCCTTTCCGATCGTCTCTACGATCGAGAAAAATCTCGAGACTCAACGCGGCTCGTTCTCCACGGCATGCACTAAAACTAACGATTGTACACTTCCGTCGAGTCCCGACGTTGGGATTTGTTTTCTTTCTTTTCTTTCTTTTCTTTTTTTTTTTTTTTTAATCGGTTCTAAAGGGGACATTCATCGCTTGTTTTTATGTATCACAGTTAACTGGGATCGTTTTATGCACCAGGTCGATAGTCCGCGATTATATTTTTCAGGAACGTGTAAATGTCTTTGAACGTCGGTCTCGAAGTCTCGTCCCTCCGCCAGCACGAGCACATCATCTTGTAGACTTCCTCCGGGCACATCGTTGGCTTCGGAAGATATATCTGGAATGAAGATACAAATTTATCAGGGAAAAAAGCATTAAAGCAATTAAAACAATAAACATAAAATAGAATGAAACGAAATGAAAAATGAAGTTAAATTAAATTAAATTAATTAAAAACTTCACCCACTTTTGAGTAAAAATTTCTCCTAACAATCCCTATATTTATTCTTAAAGTATACTACAAAGGAAAGAGAGATGACATTCGAATACCTGTAACTCGGCTCCGTAGTACATGTGCTCGGCGTTCTGTATCACCTGATCGTTGGTTAAATGTTGAAACGGTTTCTCTCTGGCTAGGCTCATCACTTCCCACAGAGTGACAGCGAACGACCAGACGCTGCTCGAGCAAGTGTACCTGTCCTGGAATCGAAACGCGCAAGTTCATTGGTACTATTGCCATTTACGGATCGATCTAGAACGTGCTCGTTATAGACGAGAACAAGAGTCGTCGGCCCAACGAAAATCATTTCAGCCTTACCAGCAGAATGCTTTCCCACGGCAGCCATCTGATTGGCGCCGGCGGTCTGCCGCCTATGTCACTGTAATCCTTCTTGTAAAGGTCACTGCACATCGCTATGTCGGTCACTTTCACGGTGTAAGAGCGGCCCACTAGACAGTTTCTGGCTGCCAGGTCTTTGTGCACCAGATTCTTCGACTCGAGGAACCTCATGCCCGATGCTATCTGCGCCCCCATGTACATCAGGCAGCTTTGACTGAAAGTATAACACGAAGCTTGCATTTGAATCTGTCCACGTTAATTGATAGTTCCGTTTGTTCGTTTGTCTGACCTGTAAGCATCGTGCGTGCAACGAGACGATTTCTATTTCTAAGGTCGCGTCGCTTTCAAAGTTGAGCTTCGTTTGTCAGTGGAATTATAGGATCACTTTTATGGCTTGAATTATCGACGATGTAAAATTCTACAAATTTTCATCTATTCTTTCTGTCGACGATTTGGTTTCAAGAATTTTATTCGCTTCCGTTTTGAAAAATTGCGAGTTATTATCTTATAAAATGTTGAACTTGATGAACGAAAACGTGACACAAAGAGGATGTGTAAATATATGGTCGATAAAATGGAATTGGACAGCGTAATGAGTAGACCGCGGTTCTGTATTTTCGAAACATTATTACGTGTATTTCGTGGAGCTTTTAAATTTCCTGTAAAACACGTGAAAATCCGTAATCTGGTAGTGACGTAAATTTAAACCTCTGCACCTATCAACTCGTCAATAATAAATAAAGGTCTACTCATCGACGCGCATAGAAATTGAAAGATTGATAAACCTTCGTTCGCTTTTAAATTTCGAATTTCTCTATTTCCCTCGCGTTCGCGAAACATTTAACAATATAAATCACGTTAATTATTATCGGAGCAACAAAGGAACATTTTCAGCGGCGGCACTATATATATATATCCCGTAATCGTATAGTATAATCGGAAGCTGTACAACACGGAAGTGCCATTAAGATCAATCGGGTATGTTATCAACGAACCAGGCACGTACGATTGCGCCGAATAAAAGAGAGGTCGCGCGTGACAAGTGAATACACTATTCATCCGTGAATTATTATAGTGATCGGTGGTGACCATCGTCACTATAATAACATTTCGCAACGCTCCTACAAGTCAGCCGTACATACACCGATCATCGGTGTGCGCCACGACGGTCGTGTACTACATATGCATCTACGCGCCGCTTTAGAATCGGTGCACACCGCGGCGAATAGCGGTATCTCACCTAAGGGCTTTCAAATTGCAGCTTGGCCTAAGCGTTCCCGTAAGTGGCACACTGTACTGAAGATAATGGGCGAGATCACCGAGTTCCGTGTACTCGATGATCGTCCACGGGACTGGTTCCACGGTGCACACTCCCAGGATCCGAGCCACGTTCGGATCGGACAGGCTGGACAGAAATCGGACTTCTCTTATTTGGTCCGTCGTACTACCGGCTCGAATGTCGCCGGCGCAAGTGGGAACGCGAGCCACCACCAATCTCGGAGCATCAGCCACCACGTCCTCTAATCCCACCGCTTCGCACACTATCGCCTGTGAATCACGACAAAGAATTGTTAGCGGTGATAATATCGAAGGAGCGAATGATACTAGGTATTGACGTCTTGTCAACCTTCGGGATGCTAATTGTTAAGAATTATTAATTCTGAATAAATTATTAATATTGTACTAATATATTATATTACACTATATTATATATTGTACTTGTATCAATTATAATTATACTAATATTAAATAAATATATATATTAAATATAATTATAATTATACTATTAAATATTATAATTATACTTATTAAATAAATATATAATTATATAATTATAACTATACTTATTAAATAAATATATATATTAAATATAATTATAATTATACTAATATTAAATAAATATATATATTAAATATAATTATAATTATACTAATATTAAATAAATATATTTAAGGAATATCAACAGTCAATCCTGCTTTCTGCAAATTTTGGAGATGTTAATTGTTAAAAAATTATTGTTCTGATATTCAAGGAGCAATGTAGGCTTCTGATAATTTTAGTGATGTCAATTCTTTCTGGATGTATTATTTAGAAAAGCATAAGTTCTTGTTTAAGTCGTTAATCTTGAAAATTACACAACTACGATAGACAATTGGTATACTCTCGGTTAGGAGGCATATTGCACGTGAATGATGCGCAACGTTTCGCAATCGTTTGTGCATTAATCGTCGAAGGGACTGGGAAACAACTCTTCGCAGCTTCTTCGGCTCGCTATCGTCATTAATACACGCGCGAATCAAGGAAGTATATCGACGAGAATCTACGTCCGTGTGCACATCTTATTATGTGCATAACGTACACAGTAAGTGCATTATCTCAGCGCTTGTCGTTCTCCTTGGATGTTTCGCGGGCAAAGTTTCCCTGTAGTTTGCAGACGAACGTATTACCGTGTATTGTGGAATCGTAACAGAACCGTGTTACATTGCCACTGATACCATTTGGTTTATCGATCACGCGATTCGAGCGCCGACTCAACCGTTAACATTGATCCTAATTATTTCTCGGGTTTTTCCGAGCGCGATAAAATTTTTCGTTCTTTTTATTAGTAGACTGTGGATATTCATGCGAATTCGTACTTCTATAATTGTGTTATTTGAATATTTTAAATGATCGGTCGTTTAGCAATAGCTGAGAAACACTACAAAAATGCAACGATGGTTATTTAAATGTTAAATAAAAATATTAAAGACGAATAGGAAAAAATGAATACATAAACAAACGAAAAAGTAAAGAAATAATCTAAATGAAGATTTGTTTTATTCGTTATATTGTATTATATCATAATTATATATTATATTACTGTAATATTATTAAATATAATAATGCAAGTACAAATAATTATATTGCAATATTACAAATTATAATATTATAATTTTATTGCATTTTATTCTGGTTATTTATATTTCATAATAATTTTATATTTCTTATATGTCTTACTTCTTTATAATAATTTTTACTAATTTATAATAATTTTATTTTATTGTTAGATTTTTAATTTTTTGCACTCTATTGACCTGAAAATTATTTCTTGCATCGTATCCACTGATAAAAGACAGAAAAATAGCGAACTTTTGCTGCTGCAAAAATAAATTTACAAACATTTATAACTTTTTCCTCTTCGAAACAAAACCCTCGGTTCTGCGAAGGTTCCATTGTAAAAATATACTGAAGTTGATAATTAATCGTGTTAGAAAAAATTTCCAGAGTATAGAGTGAAAACTCCCCATAACTGTATCAGCACCCGCAGTCTATTTATGAGCTATATTTATTATATCAATATTATCACCGCAAGTAAGTATAACCGCGAACGTAATAAACGAGAAAATGAAAATCCCTTAGAGTAATTGGTATTTTAAACAACTCCCGAATGGGTTTTACCCAAATCGTTTCCTCAGTGTCATCAATAATTTATTAATTCATAATAAATTAATTAAATCAATCAAAATCCTGAAATAATTTTATCGAAACCTTAAGCTGCAAAATCACAAGAATCTGCAATTCAAGTAACATTTTGCGTATTACATATGAAAAGATATTACGTATTTTATTCATTATTATCAACTGGGCTGCACATCTTTATGCAAAAATTCCGCGCGACCGTATCAGCATCCACAGTTTATTTATAAATGTATAAATATATTTATATAGCATCGATATGTTATTATCAAGTAAGTTAAGTTCAAACAGCCGTTTCAATCTAACGAGCGAGTGTTCGAGATTACGGAAACCCGGCGAAAACGAGAATCTCGCGTTTCATCATCATACTCGTGTTAGTTATGATAGGAAACGAAACGCGTGCACGAGATAGCCGAACTGCATTCCACGTGCACGTGCACGTAGCGAAGCGCATCATTTCCCAATCGTTTATCGTCTGTACCTCGCCAATGTTCCTCGAGCCAAGTTTCTCCGTGGTACGTAGGCACTGTCGCGGTATGTTGGTGGGCTCTATCTCCTTGCACTTGTACGGTTTGTTCATGCTGGGTGCGATGTTCCAGCTGACAACAGGTGCGGGTATCTGCGAATGTGGCAAAATAATCGTTTGCTATAACACGAGAACATTTTTCATTAATCTTAGTTTAGAGGTGTTTAGATAGATTTAGGATGTAAATTTAATTTCTCTCTCTCCTAACTTTTGACAAAATAGAAATTGTAGTGGAGCTTCACTGTGAGTGGATAGAACATTATATCGTGGAACAGATGGAGAGTCTTTTTTTTCAATTTTTGAGCTTTCGAGATTTAAAATTTTAATTTGAAATTTAATCAAGTTTTAGAAATTAAGATGTTCTTTTTTTTTTGAAAAGGGATCTATACGTAAATTATACTTATAATAATTATCATATGGTAAATGATATTACAGAAGAAGTAGAAATCCACATTTGGGATTTTTAAGGTAAAATTTAATTTGAATTAATTGAAATGCAATTTCGTAGATCCAGAACTTTCCTGGAAAAATGATCTGCAGGTGTATGCTAAATTACATTACGAAAGAGTTAGAGATTCAATGTTTGAACTTTTCAAGCTGAAATTTAATTTAAACTAATGTTTATTTAACGTAATGTAATTTTGTAGATGTGGGTGACAGTAATTAAGGAGTTTCCCGGGTAAATGTACAGACACTTTGTTTCATTCTTTAACGTAGCTAAACTCACCCTTTCTTATACGTAGCTGAAACCAATTCCTTAAACTTCAGAATTATCATGTAGCTTTAGAAATTCAATATCTTCTTCATAAAAGATATATTATAATTTCAAAATTGTTGAACTTATATGATAAACAATATTTACATATTCCCTGTCACAATTTATTTTATCTATGTTACATATAATATATATTTCCTATTATGCTGTTCATGATCTTTCCAAAATATTCTGATTAATTTATTATAAACATAATAACATAATATATGATTAATTTATTATAAACATAATAACATAATATATGATACATCAAATTAAGCATTATAAGTTTAAGCATTCTGTTTCAAATGTATTCAGTAATTGAACGATCCTTTAAAATTTAAAACGATGCATCGATTATACATAAAACAAAATATTTTCTTTGGTCCATATATTTATTTGATCACAACCCTTCGATTTAGATTTTATCTACATTTTGTCTGAACCAAAGGGCCGATTAATCAATTTCGTCCTTTTGAGTAGATTCTAGATTGAAACTAGCGAACGAACCTTGTGTTTCTCTTTAGGCGCTGTGTGCCAGCGTTTCGAGTGGATCTGATCGACGTCCCGCTGGTGATTAGACGTGGCCGCGATATTGAGTTTTGCAGTTGGACTGGTGTAACTTTGGAGGGTCCTATAGTGTTGAGAATGTCGTGCAGGAGAGTTTGTCGGTGACGAGGAACAACTCGCCGGTCCTATGGTCGATTCAGGTCTCGTATCGAGTCGAACGCTCTCCTCCGAGACGTTCACGTCCTTCAGGTCTTTCGGGGATTCTTGAAAGAAATCGATTTTTATTTATCTTTCAAGCTGCTCGTTCATACGGGAAATACTAAGAATACACGTTCAGTAAAGTTTCTCATTTTTGATATTTCGCTACTTTTGCATAAAATATAATCAACTGAGGGTTGAGAAGAGCGAAACGAGTTTCGAGTACTTTTAATCGATCTTGTGTGTATGAAAGTTTTATAGAAGCGTGTTAAAATGAATTAATGTAACGGAGTTGTACGAAAATAGAAAATTAATGTGACGAAGAAAAGCGGTTATTGGTGATTAAAAAGAATCTTTTTCTGAATGATTGATATTGAAACTTGATATATTTGCTCCGAGGTGATAATATTTATCGTAAAACGTTTTATATTTATTAAAATTATTTTTTTAGCGACGTTGTCGCGGTATGCAAAAGTCCTGCACAGACAATTTTAAACAGAGATATTCTAGTTTTATAAATGAATTCAAGTTTGAAAGTACATACACATTCGAACATGTTACGATTTTGAAAGAAACGATGACTTCCTGACAGATATATAAATATATGTTTTATTTCGAGTCTCGAAACTATTAATTATATTTAGAAATGAAATTTATAATTACGATATTCATAGTTTTCGCAAACAATTTATTGAACTGAAAATTTAACGAAATTAATTCACTTTATATTCTTCAATTTTCGAACAGCATTATACTATTTCATTTCAATCCAATATATGTACGTCTTTAGATAAGGACGACAGTTTATGGATGAGAAAACCATAGACTGAAAACATTATTTAAGGAATATTTAAAATTTTGTTTTCACGTCGTAAAAAAACATTTCCTATAAATAAACAGTATTCGCTCGAAACTGTGAAACCAAGTAACGCATATCCTACAGTTTTATGGCAATCAAGTTTTTAAAATCAAAGAGTGCAATAAAGAAGGTAAGTTGATTTGAAGTACGGTGAGCAGAGAAGAAAAAAATTTCATCTGTGCTCTTTCGACACCAAGAAGCAAAGGCTTTCGTGTTATAAAACTCACCGGAAGTGGCTACTATCGCGTACGTAGATTTATACTGTGGACTGACAAGGGGTGAATTGAATTGTTCCATTGTCAAAGACTCGTGCATACTTCCGTCCTCTGGCATGTCCGGCGATACGTGATTGGCAGTCTCTGTCAGCATTCCACCGGGAGTTAAATTTAGTAGAAGTCCCTGAAAATCGTTCGAATCGTTTATATCGATCGAAAGTACATGGAAAAGTCAGTTATATTCGCAGCAAAAAAACATTTCATAATGATATAAGCGAGAGTGAAGAATGAGTATAGTAAAAATGAAGTTCGTATAATATTAAGACTGAGGTAACAATGGCAGTATATCACATTTGTGGCATTTCGAACGTGTGTGCAGACACATACGAATAACTAGACCATGAATCAAACGTGACGGAGATAATATTATGGCAGCTTTGTTAAAAAGTTCATTTTTATTAACTTTCATTAGATATCTTAACTTTCGTCTATCCTTAATTTCTCTGTTGACATAATGGTAAAAAATTAACATCTACAATGAAAAAATAAACTTGCAAATTCTTTTATTGACAATAAATAAATATAAATTTCTATATTCAATTCCATATAAAATTCATATAAACCCTTCTTTCATTATCAAAGTCGTGTATTAGTCAATTTCATATCAAACTTTTATCAGCCGCGAAAGTGGTTAAAGATTGGTTGCTCTAAAATATTCCAAATCAACAAATTATTCATCACAGTCTTCAAATTTTCATAAAAAATTCCTAGGAAATATTAGACGAACCTGGTGCCTTCAAAGTGTATATTCACTTTCAACTCTCACTGTATATTCGTTAATGGACTACTTCTCTTCCTCCCGTTTCGAACGAGAGTCGACTACTCGTGTCATCCGACAGATGACAAACTTCGCGGACTTTTAATGACAAATTAAAATTCGTCTTATCGCCCTGGAAAAGTTTCGGCATATTTATGAGCTGGATCTTACCTTCATGTTTATGGCGAATCCAAATGGATTTTTTAGAACAGTCGGCGAGCTCTGAAGTTTTTGCCGTCGATTCAGAAGTAGAACAATGACGAACACCAGCAGAAGAAGTAGGATAATGGCAGTCAGAACACCTATTAGTACCTCTAAATATTCCTGACCCTCTCCCGCTGCTGTAACTATGCCAAATGTTTCGCTTTAATGGAGAACGGTCGCTAACCTTACCTCTCTGCGTCTTTATTTCCCCTCGTACAAGCAATAAATCGAACGGAATAATTCCATATGAGATACGACATAAAAATTACGATAATTTCCACAATGACTTCCACTTAATATCCAAATATTAAAGCTGTTATAATTTTTTAAAGAGAAATCGTACAATGGTCGAAGTTTGGGCTCATTTTAAAGTTTGAAACCTCCACTGTCATTTCGTTTTAAGATGTTTCTATTATTACACTACGCAGTAAATGTCACAGCGAAGGCACTTTTCTTCTCGAAAATCCTTAAAATTGTCATAGTATGTAAAAACGACGTTCATGAAAGTGTCAATAAAAACTAAAAAGATAGTCTATATAAAAGTCTAAATAAATATAATAGTCTAAATAAAAGATAGTCTAGCAAACAAATACATATATACAACTCAGAGCATTCGAAAAGTTCGGTGGTTAGTCGAAAAACGAAGAATGCAATTCGCGTTAGTATAGTGAGAAAGCGATCGTTCCCGCGACGAATCTTTTCCCGCCGGCAACCGTTTCATTGCTCGTAAAGGGCACGCCAGTCTCGGTACGCCCTTCTTTACCCTTTTCTGTCACTTAAAAAGCCGTAACGTTTTATCACGAACCAGAGGAAAAGGCTAATCGCCGTTTCACCGAGAGCGAAACTTCATATACTTGGAAGAAAGCTATGTAAAAGAGGAAAGGACTGAGAAAATAGGAAGAGGAAATAAGAGGGAGGAGAAGGAGAAACAGAAGAGGAGTACGGGCGAAGAAATAAGGCGACATTGGAGAGAGAGAGGAGAGACGAAACGCGGCTGGCTCGATAAAGCGACTTTACAATGCGACGTTACATTCTTCTAATTTTTCATGTCGGCCAGGCCAACTGTTTTATCGGTTGGCACGGCTCGTGCACAATGAAAACGGAAGCGGCGTCACGACGCCGGTTTTACGAGAGAAATAAATAAGCCAGCCGAGAATGGCCTCGCGTGTGGCGCGATCAAGATCTCAAGCTCGGCCCGGAGACTCGGAGACCGATTTTCTTCGATCAGCCGGCTCCTCGACACCGTTCCAAGGAGGAAAAGTCAGACGGTGGCCAAAGTCGTCTCTGTGTGTATACGTGTTCGTGTAATTTCGTACTTTAATTCGGTAGCACGGGTCTCCGTGGACCCGGTGGCGCTCGAACCGGAAAATCTACCCTTTAAATGACATCTCTTTCTATCGAAAGAAAAAAAAAAAAAAAAAGGGAAAATGGACAGGGACACGCCGCAGGGCTTTTAATTCCTTTTGTTACGAATCTCCACCCCCTTCCTTCGCTTTGTCCCCTTTCTTTCACCCTTCCCTTTTTCCTTTTCTTTTTTTCCTCCCTATTTTCGATCTCATTCCTTGCGGTCTACTTTTCTTACGTATTCTTAGACTTTCTTACCATTTTTCCTCGCCCCTCCCACTGTTTCACCCTCCCCCGAGAATCTTGCCCGTTTTTCTCCTTCGAACGGTATTCGACGATAATATCAACAGGCATAAACAGCACGTCGTTTCGTATTATTTCGATACCACTACTCGCTTCCATTACACGTTCTCTGCTTTTCCCTCCTCTCTTTCTATTTTCCCGTCCATGTCCTCCCTTTATTTTTCTATTTTTTTTCTTCTTCTTCTCATTCTTGTTGGTTTATGTTGTTGGTTTTCATTCCACGCTGCTGTTTTCCTCGTCGCAGTCGCGAGTCCGATTTTTGTTTGTTTTATTTTATGACGACGCCGGGTCTTGAAGGGTTGGACGGAAGTTAGAGGATTCTATCAAAGGCGAAATTTCCCATAAATGTCCGCGTCCCGACATACGCGTCAGAGGTCTCTGTTTTTCTGATTTTCAAATGTCGCATCCAGATTCAGGTGTAATCAAAAATATTCGCAGCGTGATTTTCATTGCTGTCCGACTTTTTATTTACTTCCACGCTCTGTTTTCTATCTTTCATTCTACTAAAAATCGCTCCAAGTGTGCAGTTAACAATAATTGACTGTATCTTTTTTTTTTTTTTTAGTGACAGAGATTTTGTCTATTAGACACTGCGTTCCTGTTTCTTCATACGTGATTTTTCAAGTGTCACGTATCAATTACATATGCAATTGCAACATTTGAAAATCGCGTATGGAAAAACAGGAACATGCTTCTCCATTGTATCGGTGACGCTTATAGGAAATTCCATCTTCATGCTCACGTTACTTCAACGTGTGATTACACCCTGGCCAGATCCTCGTCTAATTAAACCGTTTCTGTCACTCTTTATCTAATCTCGCACGGCCACGTCCTACTTCCTTTTCTAATTTTCCACTCTCGTCCGATTAACTGCTTATTTTACATCGACGCTACTAACTTCACCGCCGATGCGCCATCGGCCCTCTCTCCAGTTAATCCCGCTCTTTATCCAGTCATTAAAGCGCCGCTACTCTTTTTTCTGCTTTTCGTTCTCCTTTTGTTGGGAAAGGCAAACTCGCCCAGGGAAGTGTTATCCGCTGGCTGCCGGATTATTTGAAAGAGTGTGCGAAAATGTTTGTCGAGGAGCGCGGATAACGAGGTTAAATTTTGCAGCCGTTTGTGCAGTCGGTTAAAGGGTATTTTAATATCCAGAATAAACGTTACACGTGCTTTGAGAATAATTCGCGAGATAAACATAATCGCGAATGCACGTAAATTTCGTTTAATAAAATATAAATAATTTTATAAATTTTATAAGAGGAAAGAGAGAGAGAGAGAGAGAGAAGGGAGCTCATCACTGCAACAGTTTCTGTTTTTAACTTCAAAACTACTAATGGTCAAAGTACAGCTATTATGTTAAAGAAATTATCCATAAATTTTTTTGCTTTTTATCTACCTATTTTACAAAAGTTATTGCTATTAGTAATAGTCGGCTATCTTTTATTTTGTATTCTCTGTTTTAGATTATTCTACGTCTATTATTAAGACTATTCTAAGATTATTATTAAAATTATTCTAAGAATATCTTGAGAATATCTTTTCTAGAAGACTAAAGAATAGAAAATTGAGTATCAATACTGAAGAATATTGTAAATATATCCTATTAATTTTAATATTTTAAGAATATCCTAACAGCAAACAGACTATTCTAAAAATATTCTGAGAATTTTATGGTAAATTTTAAAAATATTCTAGCTAGATAATATTTTGAGAATAGAAGACTACTCTAAGAATAAATATAATAGTCCATTTCGAACAATACTTTTATAACTTCATCGCTGATACAATAATTTTTTATAGATTTAAAATAATCTAGAATATCTAGAATAAAAAATACAAAATAATATACCACTATTGCTATTTATTCTTATATTTGTATATTCGAAATCTATTATTCTGCAGCTATTTTAAATCTGTAAAATTTGCACGAAAAATTGTGAATTTAATTGTTTTGGTCACTTTGATAGCCAAACTTGCTTTCGTCACTTTCGAATTCAATTTTAATTCTACAGCAATTTTCTTGAATATTTTTTTCGGTGAAATATTTCAAACATTCTTCTCATTGTTACTCGCAGATAATCTCGACACGAATCAGACACGTATACGTTGTTTTATTATAGTAGTTTACAGGTTTTTGATGTCAGAACAACACATATTTCCACGTGAGGCTGTCCATATTCTTTCCCTGCTTTTACGTGCTGTCTTTCCACCTCTTTGCGCTAGGAAATGTTAAAAAGCCGAGCTTTCGCGCATGCACGTGCCCGTCTCGTTATGGTCGCGTCTAACGATGCGCTTTTTTATTTTCACGGCTGGATAATCGTAGCCACGCCGGACTAGCAAACTGCTCGTTTATTCGTGATGGATCAGAGGAAATATTTTGAGCTTTCGAGATACAGAGAAAAACGTTGGTTTGTCTATTAATAACGTGTAACTAAGTATTCACGTCGCGACTACCTCCTGTTTATTCTCGACGTTTCGCTTCTTCGACAGTCTTCTCTCGTTAACACATTCGTGCCCCGTATATTTATCGAAATTTTCAACAATTTTGATATAATTTTACCGCGATCTCAAAGTCACTAATAATTTTATTCAAATTTCTTCTTCAAAGTCACTAGTAAATTTTATTCAAATGTCAAATAATTCTAAAATAAGACTACGAAATGCTGCAATTAAAATGTATGAAATATCTGCAATATACAAAAATCCACAAGACATCCAATATTGAGTATTATTAATTTAATTTAAATTAAAGAATATTCATATTCCTCAGAGTCACTGATAAATATTGATCTATTTGAATTTACTTTACCCATGAAAAGAACGCAGTAATACGACGGCAGTCGTTGATAATACTAATTATTCTAAAATATAGCGACTCCTCTGTTTATATTTTTGCCTAATGCACGGAACGAGAAATTACACAGGATTTTGAGATTCACTTAATTAAAAAAGCACGTTTCGTGGTTTTACATTTAACACCGTACTCCCCGGATAATATTCTCAAAGAAAGAGGCTTTTGCTCCTCAAATCAAAACTATAAAATAGAAAGAGTAACGTAGAGAGTTAATAAAGGATCAAACAATCGAACGACCTATCGATATAGGAAATTTCGGCCTGGTAATTGGAAATTTGATTCTTCGCTTCGCCGAAAAGTGAATGCATTAAGCTTTGAGCGAATAGAAAAAAGGTTCATCGCGTTATGGTTTTACCATATGGTAAAACCCTGCTTTCCTTGCCCGCTTCAATTAAAGCCGATGCATTCAGGCGCGGTTAAAGTTTCCAGAACAATTGACGCGGCAAGGATGAGCCAGTTTTAGGGAAACAACGTGGTCGCACCTTTACTCTTTGTACTCGAAATCACGACACAATGAAACTCGCATCGTGCAGTAAAAAAAATATTTGAAGAGCTCGCGGCAACAGCGATCCTTGTCCATGTTTAATTCTTTTTCCAGGAAACCGAAAGAATAGCATCTTTTAATTTCTGTCCGATGCGTTTCATGTTGCAGAATTTCTGTGAACGGGCCTGCATTGTAGTTGAAGGATTATATCTACAGTGACTACAGAAAATATTTGCATATACTACAAAAATATTTGCATTTGTATCTCTATTTTTCAATGAAGTTCTCTTCTGTCAGGTTTTACATTCCGAACTTTTGTCGTCATACAACTGGATGATGAGAATTAATTCGTTAAAAGTTAACGCGATATTTTTGCAATCAATTCACACTGTCAAATGATATTTCTCAAATTTGTTGTGGTTGTTAAAAGATTAAAGGAACTTAATATTTAGATTTGTAGATTCCTAGAATTATTTTTTGAAAGTTTAAGAAATTATAATGTTTTGTATTTGTAGAAATGTACGAGATTTTTAATGGATCAAGGTACAAGTTATTTCTTGTGATTTCACTATGCAACTTCGAGCTGCTAGAGTGCATCATTAAGTGAAAATGTTATTCGGTTCAATTATGAGAAGACTGCGAGTGTCCATGCAAATTGGTATTCTTATGAGATAATTGTTAACCTAACTAAATACTATAAGTTACAATACATAATACACTACAAGCTAGTATTTACGAGGATCTTTATGCATTTATTGGAAATTTGAAGAAGCAAAAATATACAGAGTACGCGTATTACACGAATAAAAATATAACGTTACATGAAAATACTTTTTATGTAGTTTCATTCCAGCTCACTTGCAACAAGCAACTCCTCCAGATACCTTTATATATTTTCGCGCCATTAAACTTCCCGTGGATGCATAAAAATCCATTACCCACTCATTGTAATATACTTTCATTATTCCCGAGAAAATAAAAACTAAAGTTGACATTCCGTTACGTCGCCTTCGTCGCACGATATATCCTTTTTTCTTTTTTCTTTTTGTTTGCACTGCACCCTCTCGCGAGATATCGTGGAAAAAGCACGCGGTGTGCTTTTTACCCTCCCGATGAAATCGATTCATTAGAGCAATAAGACCCGGGATCGACGCGAGAGCCCCGGCTCTTCCTTTCTCGTTCTTGTTCGCTTTCTCGAACGAGTACCCTCTTAATCCGACTAATTGTTTACGTTACGACGAAGTTGCTACGTGAATTATAAACTATCCAAGTTTCTTCGTCTCTCCGGCCGGTTACTCGCGACTCCTCTCTAATCGTATCCTCTGCTTGGCAAAGAATGGCGGCCTGGTTTCGCTAATGAAGTTACTTCGTCGGACAAACCTTATGTACTCACAAAGTGAAAGAGGACGAAACTCGATCGGGGGCTTATTCTGGTGTATAATCGGACGAACAAATTGGGAAATTGATTTTCTGACGGACCGATGTCGAACGGATGATTGCGCCGCGCAGTAAGAAGTGGGACAATCTCTACCTCGCCTGATTCGATTATTAATCCGGTAATTTAACTAGAGGATAACAAAAAAAAAAAAAAAAAAAAAAAAAAGGGAAAAAGCAAAGAATGATAACGATCGATTTAACTTTGTAAATTATGTTTGATCATTCTTTCGCCTTACGCTGGACGATTAATGTAATCTCATAAAAATTGCGTATAGTCAGTACCATTATTTTAATTACGTTATTTGTTGTGACGCACTGAATTTAAAAATCATGAAATATTGATTAATTTGGCACTTTGAGGACGTTTAAGCACATAGTGACTTGCTACAGTATTTTTTACAATTTTTTGTAATTTCCTTGAATAGATTGACATATTCAGAAAGCTATAAAATTTATATGAGCTATATAGATGTATTGCGTCTTATTTTTATTTAAATTTACTCTAATTTTGAAAAATTTTGACATTTTTCGAGTTTAATTTAGAATTTTAAAACAGTAAGTTTCTTTCAATTAGATTTAATGATAAGAGATATATTGTTTATGAAACAAGGAAAATGTTATACATGAAATTATTGATAATTTTTTTCAGACTTCATTTTTCAACGTGAAATCTTAATAAAATTTTTCAACCTTTGTTGAACTCGCTCAGAAACTGCTTAGTATACTGATGAATAATTTTTTAACACACCCTCCTACAGTATTAATAATTCTACCATTCTCCACTTTAATTAATTCACCTTTTTTAAATTTCTTTTTCTATCACTGACAGTATTTCACGACGCTTCGACTAACGTTGTAACATTTTCAACAAAATTTTCCAGAAACTACAAGAAACTACAAGGCACAGTATGTAGAAACATTTCCTAAACGTATATTTAGCACGTAAGTACCATTATGAATCAAGTTTCTTAACAATTAAACGTGCACCTCCCACGGGTATTAATACCGTGCATCAAATTATACTGTAAGAAGATGTGAGTGCTCCGCAGTATACGGAACAGTCTTAAGCTGAAGTGCAACCAAGCGAGCAAATTTTAATCAGTGTGTAAGAGTCGCCCGGTTAAAGGGTAAAGAACAAAGGGTAATAATTAAGCGTGATGAAGTTGCACACCTATATCACAAAGTGTGCACGCGCGCACTTGTGTACGTGTATACTTCGCATTTAACTTGGTTCCCTGTTATTTTCGCTCCCAGTGGACAAGATGAATTTTTTTTCTTGACCGTGAACGGAATCACATTCCGCGATCATGCAACGAACGCGTTCAAACTTACCATTAGACCGGGATTATACATTCAGTTGCTCACGAAAGTACTTGAACATTTTAGGGATACATCATGTGTATTACATTTAGAAATTTTATTAACACCGTAGTGAAACATGACTGTCATGATTATATATAACAAATATGGAAATGACATGATACTTAATGCAAGGATACATTTCGTACAAAGTACAACAGTATTTAAATAATTACAATATACAATAAAACCATTTTTAACCATTCTCTAAAAGAAAATTTACAAGAGGGATGTTATATAATAATCTGAAGTACTTTTTTGAAAATATGTATATAATATATTTTCTTATCTTTATATTTTATTTTTTATAATTTTTTCTCCGTCACTGCACGTTTGCAATAAGTATCTTATAATTTCCGATAGAATAGCTTCCACTGCCAGTAGAATCATGTCGTGTCAAAACTTCACAATAGTGGCACACATAATATACACGTACGTATGACAAGTATTCTCTTGTGATAAGTTTTCAAATATTTTTGTGAACCACTGTAGTTAACGTTGAAGGCTGGTGTGTCTCAGCCAGCCAACAGCGTGCCAGATAAGATAGATACGGAAAAGTTTCGAATGCTCCGGGTGTAATTAACTCGAGATTGATACGAATTAAATGCCGCCGCCGTCGAGTCACTTACTTGTTTGCAAGTTAAGATCCACCTCGGGGTTCATTGGAATTTCCCGGTTACTGAACTCGGATGCTGACTCTTCGGTGGTATTTTCATAGGGATTCGCTGAAACAAGGAGACGTGTCTTGCTAATTAAACCGTTGTAAGTCTTGCTTAATCTGCCTGACAACAAAGCCTTTTTCCACTCTCATCTGCCGGATATATCGTCCGCATTAAACAACGGAAGCTTAAGTTAAGCTGTTTATAATATTCGCACGTAACGATTCTTTTATTTCTTCCTGTCTGTTTGATTTGTCATCAGTTCGTCGGGAAAGTGAATCTTTGATGTACATACATACTCTTCGAAGATGCATGTATATTGGCGAAACTTTAATTTTCATTCTTAAATGGTATTTATGAGTAAATCGATTTTTATGCAGATTTATGTTTTTTGAGAATGTAATTAAAAAAATAGACCTTTGGTAGAATATTATTATAAAAAGCACTACACGTTGGATATTTTATATATATATATACACAATATTCTCTATATTTTGTGATTCGAAATTTTTTATAAATGCATAAAAATCCAGCAGTTTAGTTATAAATTACTATATGTAGAAACTTGTGAAATTTAATGGAATTGTGTTTGATCTTGTTCTGTATTTCAACCTTGTATTTCAACCTACCGATAGAAATTTTCTTTTCAATTTTCCCTAATTTCCTTCGTGCAAAAGCATCGAGTTTACTTACACGCTTGACATTAAAGTTTCCCAACTTTTTATCAACGCCGAATCGGCAAGTACTGCGTTAACCGATCGACTATCCGTACTCCCAATTCGATCTTGACTCTTTTCAGGAATGATTCTTTTCGACGATCGACACGAGATCCCTGCGGGGACGTTCGCGGTAACCTCGATTCAACGGATCACGGCGTTAATTCGAGCAGTCATTAGGATCGCGCGATGGGATTGGAATTCTCAACGAGAAAGATATTTCAGATCAAAGATGCGGCAAATGTTCAAAAAAAAAATAAAAACAAGAAAAGAAAACAAGCAGCGTGATGAACGTTGGAAACAGATAATCCCGGTTGTCACTGCTAGCTCTATTCGTTATCGATTCAACGAGACTTTGACGAGATGTCACGATCTGTGAAATGGTAATTAAGCGACCGTTCGAAAGTCGCCGTGATTTTTATTATCACGGTCCAATGATCGTACGAGCGCTCTCTAATTACGTAAAATCGTATTAATAGCGAGAAAGAGAGAGAGAGAGAGAGAAAGATCACGAGCACACATCGTACGCAAGAGCTTTCGTTTGATTAATTGAAACACTGCCTGGAGGTCGTCTCTGACGAGGGTGATTGGGGTGATCGATGAAAGAACGTGTCACGACGATAAAAGGCTTACTTCCATCGAACGTCACTTCGCTGATCATGATCCATCGGCCAGCGAAATACAAATGCATCTTGACGAATCGTCCGTGGCGTTCGTGAAGCCCGATGGACACGTTTCTCGCGTTCTCCAGTACGATATCCGGTATGTAGGAGTAAGACAGTGGTTCCTCCTCGTAGGTGGCGCCATCAACGCTGAACCAGACGTCTGCTTTCGAGAATACCTGCAGCATGGGAAATCTAAGATGCGATTGCGTCTAGCCTGTTGTATAACATTTTTTGTTAGATATAATTGTAGCGATCTTTATGCAATTTTGTACCTTTATCGAACACGATTAAGCAAGTCTGAAGCCCGAAACAGAATTAAATATTGCTACAAATGCCTTAGCATTTACTTTTAAAAGTTGAGAATAGAATTGGAAATCGAACAGATGTTTTCAAGTACTCGTCATAATATTTAAAAAATAATTAAAATACTAAATTAACGGATTTTAGAATGCCATGTTTGAACGGATGTTTTCAAGTACTCGTTGTGATATTTAAAAAATACTTGAAATACTAAATTAAAGGATTTTAGAATACCATGTTAGAAAATTCTGAAATATTACAAATTTTGTGTTCTAAATAATATTTAGAAAGTGAAATGTCTGTTATAGCATTTAAAAATTCTATTTGGACTGCAGGTATTACAGTATAATATTTTACGATATGCAAGTTTACTATTACGATAAATATATAATACTATGATATACGTATATAATGTATATGTTATAATACAAGTTTATTACTGTAAATACTGTATTATAAAAAGTACTTTACTTTTATACTCTTTTGCATGTATTTCTTTCTTCTCATTTCATCTCTGAATTTTTATTCTCAATTGTTCAAATTCCTCTTCATCTCTGTTCCATATAATTCTTCCGTTTTATACATGTAATATTATAATTATGAATTGTTTCATTTAACTAAAATTAGAGTGTACGCAACAGAATATCGAATATCTCAGGAGATTTTATTGAAAACGGCAAATTGAATTGTACAAGTAGAATAATCCACGAAAGACAATGCATTTTGTTCGAAATGATAACGAACACAAAATTAGATAGTTAATTAATTCGAGAACATAATACATCGCGTAACTCGATAAATTTAATCGCATTCTCCATGGATGGTAACACGTATCGCGATGCTTCTATATTCGCGTCGGTGTTATAGTTTCAATTTAGTTAAAATATCATTCGATCAACGATGCTGTTTACATTAATTCTCGCGTAATGGTGTAACAATGCGCCGTATTGTGTGAAAGAAATTCGCGCGACGAGCGATCGGCCATTAAAGAAGAAAGAAATATACGGTTTAATAGACATTAGTTGACGGATGACTCGTTCGAGTCATCGCTTATGCTATAACCGGTACTTAAGACCGAATCTTCGCTTTTAATGGCGAAGCCTTTCATTCAGATGAAAGGAAAAATACCAACGATTCGTCGTCGTGCATTACTCGCATTGATAGTTCAACGTGCAAGATACAGTATTAAATCAATCGACAATTAATGTAAGAACCTTAGAACGATAATACCACGAGAACGAGAGATCACGTGAAACACAGCGTTCTTACAATTATTACAGTTTCCTTGCAAACGCTGATATAAAATTCGATACGATCAGAGTCGATCGATACTTTTAATCGACCTTTAATCAGGATCAGCCGCGTAATCCGGTCACAGGGAAAATATCAAGATCGTCTAACGACGAGCGTTGGTCATTAAAAGTTTTATCTCTCGCGTGGCTAGTTTACGGGAGGGGACGCATTAAAAAGATTACCCACCTGCACGTCGCGGGAGAAATAATTATTGGTGTAGATGTGCACCGCCTCGAAGATCCAGGCTACCTCGAACTCGAACACCAGCTCCACGTAATCGTCGACGAAGGTGTCGCGCATCCACGCGACCCATCCAGTGCCTGAAAACGAGAAGAAAAAAAAAAAAAGAAAAAAAAACAAGAAAAATTAAGAACGAACGTATCTGTTTCGTGTTCACGCGATTGATTCACCGCGAATTCTAGGCAGACAATTTCGTTGGCCCGAATCGAAGTTAAAGCCTGTGAACAGCGATTGATCTCTTGTTTCTCTCGTTAATTGAATTGATTCCGTTCGGGGGAAACTTCCGGGGCGCGAGCGCCAGACCCTCACACCCTTCCGATCCAGTCCATCCTGTCGACTCTCTGTTTTGTAAAGCGTCGTCTTCGCGTAATCGACTGTTTCGTCTGTTTGCAGGTGCTAAGTACCGATTGCCAGGGCTTCCGACTTTAAGCAGTTTGATTTCTCCGGAGCTTCTGAATATGTCGGAACTTCGAGCACATTCAGAAATTTGCCGGGAAAGAGTATAAAAATTTATTTGAAGCGAATGGACAATTCTATTTTATTTTCATTTCATTAAGAGAAGATACACACGTACGCACAACGCGTTAGAATATTTGAGAATATATAGAAGATTGAAAGCATTCGTTGTAATATTTACTATAACGCGTGAAACAAAATTCAGATTCTATTCCTTTAGTTGTGTTTAGAAAAATATAAGAGTGCATAGTCAATCCGCAGTCCAATTTTTTAATTATAAAATTGGTCGAAATGGAAATTTTTGAAACTCGACAAGTTTATGATATCTAAAGTTTAAGCTTGTCAGGTATCTTTAGATCATCGTCAGGATTTTTCTACTTTACAGATGTTTTCTAAATCTCACGTTATTCGATTATCTATCACTTCATCTTCTCTTTATTTTTATTACTATATCCATTCTATAAATTATAATTAGTTTGAATATGTTTACGTATCATATGCATTTTTTAGATCTTCCGAAGTTTGAACTTTTCTAAAAGGAAAAGATGTCTAATAATAATTAACAAAGCGTACGAATATCATTAAATTGCAACAAGAACATTAGGAAAATTCTGAAATCGTTTAACAAGAAGGTTCCAGCGAAGAGATAAATTAAAGTTGAACACTATCGATAAAAATTTCAACCGTCGAGTATTTTGTAAGGCGAAACACGCATACGGACACTATGCTCCTTTTTTTCGCAACCGAATCGATTCTTCCAGCATCCCTCCCTCAGTGCCCGCTTAAAAATTTCAAATATCATTCTCGCCGGCTTACTTTCATCCCCCGAATCGATACTACGGTTTTCAAAGTTTCAAGAATCAATCCTCCCTTCGAAAAGCGTCTCGTCGTTTATGCCGCGCACAAGGGATGTTCAAGGTTCTTCGCGAGTCGTCGTAATTCAAAGACTTCACATCGATATATCAGCAAAAATGGAATTGACGCATGATCTTCGTATTCGGTGACCTGTAAATGGTGCACGTGGCGCGTCAATTCCAACGATAAGGCGCACAGTGATAAAAGTTCCGATTCTAGACAGAGAAAATGACTTAGAATTAATTATGTAACATCTCGATGTAACTTGGTAATTGCAACTTCATATACATATACTTTATCATGGAAGATTTATATGTTCTATTGTGAAAAAGTCGGAGATGGAAATTACAACAAAATTAAAAAAGAAAAACTAACAAGGGGTTAATACTCTATTTTATTTTATTACTCAACTCAACAATTTTATTACTCTACTTGTTTAAAATTCTATTTGATATATACCTTCTTTGTCTAGCTAGAAATCGAATCTTTACCACTGTGCGACGTGAATCATTCCGAGGGCGCGATCAACGTCTTCGAGACGCCTTCCGTTTCGGCACTTGGCACCCCTTCGTGTATCCACCCACCGATTACCTCTTCCATCTCCCATGTCCAACCTATAATTATCAGCGCCGACCTCTCCATCGACCAGCCGGCCTAGACCATCGGTTAACAAGTTGTCCTGCCTTTTACCGTCGTACGAGATGTCGCTCAGCTCCACCGTCGGGGATTCCGGTATCGTGTAGCTCACCACGCCACCTGAAACACGACGGAGAAGTTTCCTTGATGACAACTACGACGACAATGCTTCTCACTTTTAAAACAAGCTCGAGCAACCGGCCAACTTTGCGCTATTCGCTTGCTCCTCTCTTGTGCACCACGAGGAAGGAAGTGGGAGGGTTACGTGGATGAAATAAGAGGGTGTATACAGGGAGAAAGAATCGTTGCGTTGACAGCATTGTGTTCTCGTCAGGTAAAATTTTCTATCAAGATCTTACTTCTTGAATTACATTCTCGTATAATTGTACAAATAATTCAATAATTTGTAACAACCTCTGTTGAAACGACGTTGCTCTTGCGTTGGAATCACGTGCCACGCACGTCGAGAAGTTTTTGTCACAAATTGCAACATTTTCTCAGTTTCAAGTGTATTTAAATGTAACCAAGGCAAAACAAATGAGTTTGTTATCCAGTGATATCATACCGACGAGTTCGAAAGAAACAAGAAAGCGACGAACTATTGCGTACGGTTCGGTCACTCGTTATGGTCCGCGAACCGGTTGCCAGCGCGAGGGGTTAAAAAAAGATCAGAACGATCCGTACATTCAGTGTGAAACGGTTAGAAACTCGTTCAAACACAGTTCAATGATTAAAAGCTGGTTGAAACAGTTGAACAGTATATTTCTACGCCGACACGAATTTACGTTCAATTTACTCGTGGCCAAAATCGAACGACGTATTTCCTGAAACGAGAGCTAAGATTCAATATTTTCTTGGCGCGGCGGGCGATCGAGGACTTGTCCGAGAGCCGCTCGACCGCATCGCGTGACACGGTTCATCGGCCACGAACGTAGGCACTGTGAAATATTGAGAGCAGTTAGGCGATTCCGGGCACGACACACGGCGAAATGGTCGTGCCGTTTTTGTCGTTCATTATTAATTTTCTCGCCGCGAATGCCCGATCTCTTGGTCACGCTGTTTCGACACTCTCTCGACCGATCAGGGATCCGCGGCTCGACGGATTACTCTTATCTGAATTTCTTTGACGAATTCCCAACATCTATCCATTATTCCTCAACGTATCATATCAGTCAATATTTATCACTTTCGAAACCTCCCCGCGTCAAAAAATTAAGCAAAATCATATATCTGACTGACGACTGTAGAAAGAATGTTTCATTCTCCTCGTAGGATCGAGAAATGTGTATTGTCCCTCCACGAAACCTAAACTTTCAGTACAACTTTCTAAATAAAATTCGACAAGGATCTGATCAATACCGAAAGACAAGGAATATCTCATTCTTCCGAAAATGTTAGAATTGTTTCGTCCATTCGCTTTCAAACTTTTTCCTTCGACCGCCTCAAAAAAATCTACTTCTGCTAAATTCTCCCAAACTGGACGAAATCCAATAGCGATCCAACTGAAAGGCGACTACTGGAAGAAAGAAAGAAAGTATTTCATTCTCAAAATACAGTTCTTCTTCGGATCGAGGAAGGTACGTTGTTCTGATCTGACAAAGTGTTGTCATTCTCTTTTTCTTCCTCTTGAATCAGCTACTCGATTTCTTTGAATTCCTTTCAAGAAACCTAAACTCCCTTTCGCTGAACTCTTTCAACTTAGTTCAATTTAAAATGAACAAAATTTGACAGCCATCTAACTGGTAATTATTTATTTTCCTCAAAATACTGTTCTCTTCAAGATGCAAGAATTGTTTCATCCATTTGATCCCTATATTCCTTCTTCCAATCCTCTAAAAGAATCTATTTCCATTATTAAATTAAACGTAAATTAAAGTCCTTAAATTGAACAAAATTGATCTTTCCAAATTAAACAAAATTCAGCAGTGATCCAACTCAAACAAACTCAGCGATTGTTGACAGAAAGTCAATATTTTACTTTCAAAATATAATTCTTGACAAGATAAGAGAATTGTTCGATTTATGTTTAATTTTTTTCCTTCATTCTCTCTAAAATATCCTGTGGTACTAAATTAAATAAACTACAAACTAAATAGCAAACATTGATAATTATTCGAAGAAAAAAAGCATAGTTCATCTTTAAGATGAAGACTTTTATCACTTATAGTGGCGAAGATTTTGTATTGTAATAAATTTTGTTGTTATTATATGATATTGTAGCGGCCTAGAGTCCCTCGAGTACGAGTTTCGAACACCCACTCGTACAAGCCGCAAGTGGCTGTGCGCCTAGCGTCGAAAGTCAACCGATATTCGATGTTAAGCAAACAGAGTGCGGATGGGTGCCGTCCAGCCTAGCGAGTAGTTAGAAAAACAAGCGTCTGGGGTAAGGGGTCGCTGCCATCAGCCCCACTGATGAGTCTAGGCAGCGACTCTGAGACGAAACGCACAACCTTTCCTCACCTTACCCACATCATCACTTCCTACATTATCCTCGCATTATCATAGTCAATTTCAAACCCTTCAACTGGTGATCTCCCGACGATGTTATGAACACGCAACCAAACGCACCGGAGCAACAAAAGGAAGGGACGACGACACACCCGCGAGGATGCAACATCATCTGACATCCACACTCCTCCATAGGCCTCCTCTTCTCAGTATCGTTATCACTGGGAAGGGGGTGATGTAGCGGCCTAGAGTCCCTCGAGTA